TAAAAAACTATTAGTCTAAGCTGATAAGACAATACAAAGGAGTAAGCCGTTAAGAACACTGAAATATTGATTTTTTAAAATTTTTATTATTTTATTTTTCACTGACACCTGGTGAACTTGTGGTCTGTGAGACCTGGGGAGTTATTTTAGTCAGGGTGTCCCTGCCCTCCTGCTGGTAAATTAATTACATATGAAACGTTGTGTTTTCAAAACGAAATGATAAATCTGGACTCATAAAGGAGGCACGAAAAGATTCACAGCGAGGGAGAAGAGGGGATGTTAAGAAAGAAAACAAGAGATTGCAAAGGGAGATATCAGATGGAAAGGGGAATGTAGAAAATGCCACTGGGAAAGAATTTCGAGAAAATAAGAATAAAGGGCAGGGAGGGCTGAGAGGAGGGTACGAGGGAGGAAGGGAAGGAGGGAGATTTTTGATTTTCAATTCCCTGGCGAGGCTGCTGGCGTCCGCGCCCTTAACGCCCCAGCCTTCCAAGTTGAGCGAAAGCCACCTCCTCGGGCCTGCGTCGTATCCAACTTACTCCAAGTTTTCTGGTGACTCCTACAGAGCCCCTTTCCGTCCCCCCCTTAGTGAGATTGACAGTCGCGTGGAGGAGGCTTTTCCAGGCACAGCCTTTCTCATGGTAATCAGCCCCCAGCATCACCTCCCGGCCGCGGCTGCTCCCGCTCGGAGCGCCGCTGCGGACTCCAGGGACCGGAAACAGGGCGGCGGGCGGGGAGCGGGCGAGCGAGCTAGGTCAGCTGACCGGGCGGCGGGGCGGGGGGTCGCGGTGTTCCCGGGCGAGGACAGGTCTGGGGGAGAGTGGGCGGGCGGACGGGACAGCCCCCCCCACACACACGTGCTTCTCCGCCTATGCAGCGGGGCCTTTCCCTGAGATCAAATCGAGGGACCGAAACTGGGGGCGGGGGGCCGGGGGGTGCGCAGAGCGCTCCAAGAATTGGGGACAACAAGCAGACCTGTTTTGCATCAATAAATTAAGATGCTTATTTGGGTCCTGAAGTTTGCTGGTTCCTGTTAGTGGAGACGTTGGCAAAAGCCCTAAAGCCGAAATTCAGCATTTACTTCAAAAAAATCAAATAAAATAAACCCCTCAGCTGGCCGCCCTGCTGGGGCCAGGTGACGTGCGAGATTCCACAGCCCGCGGGCCTCGCAGCAGGGATGTTAGGGACGATCTGAGGTCCTCTGGTCCTGTTTTGGTTTTGTTTTAAAGGGCTTTTCAGAGAGATGCTCCAGATTTTTTTTTTTTTTAATGGACTTTCCCCTCCTATCCTAGGCTCAACTCCGAATGGATTGGGTTGCCAGTTTACACGTGGGAAACCCGTTTGGCGTGGTTTGGACCCCTGTCGCCCCCCACCCCCTCCACCACACCCAGTCCAGGGGTCCTCCTTATCTCTCTTTGCTTGCAACTCTAAAAGAAGTTGCCCACCTCCTGCGTAACAACACAGGGTGGAAATAATTCCTCTAATTGAAAGATCAATTCCGTTTCAAAACGAGAATAGGTTCCTTTTTTTATTTTCTCCACTTGGTACAAAATAAACAGAATTTGCTTTTTAAAAAAACTCATTAGCTGTGGCCAAATTTGAATTCCTTCTACAGCCTGTGTGTTCAAGGGCAGAAACATTGTATCTCTTCGGGCATCTGGGCCGGCTAGCGGGGCTGCGGGCGGGGGAGGGGGAGCGGCTGTGAAAGTTGAGGAAATTGACAGACTGAGAGGTGAATGGGGGGACAGGCACCAGGTCCTGGCTGGAGGGAATTGGAAAACAAAAGTGCATCCTTCTCACCCTGCCTGGTTGGAGGGAATCCTCAGGGAGGCAGTTTGTGTTACCCAAGGAAACCCTAAGGAATTATTTTTCTCCCTTCAATGTCGATTGCAGTATTATTTCCCATTTGCGTGTATCTGTGGTTTTAATCCCCTTCGTCTGCGCTAATCTCGAAGTGGATTATTAAGGGGGAAGAGACAGGGAGGGAGCGATTCATTTGCAGGACTTGTTTTGCTGTGTGAAGAGCCGAAAGCCAGCAGCCCCCAGTCCTCTCTCGACTTTTCCCTGCGCCCTGCGCTCCTGCATCCCGCTGATCCCACGATCCCCATTGTCCCCGACCTGGCCCTCGGATTGAGGGAGTGTTCCGAACAAATTTATATTCCGGCTTCCTCCAATCCCATTGCCCCTGCAGTGGTGGGAACTCTCCTGGCCAAAAGCGGGGAGGGGCGTGCCACGTAGGGGCGGGGGGCAATCTAGCGCGCGCTCACCCCTCGCGGGGACCCTTCCCGTGCCACCATCCACATATCCACCTTGGTGGGAATCTGGAAGATTGCTTTTTTACCCCAAATCAAATACTTGCATGTCGAAACTCCCAGTGCTGAATGTTGGGGGCTGCCTCCTGCCACTGGATTACTGAGCAATCAGATGATTAGGTGTTTTTAATAGAAATACTTAAGTCTTTTTTTTTTTTAAGTCGGATCCTAAGTAAACTGACATTTAATATATAAGTCGGATCATAAGTAAACTGACATTTAATATACATAATAAAGACCAATGTTTTGTTAGCTATTCGACTGGAAAGTCGGATCCTAAGTAAACTGACATTTAATATACATAATAAAGACCAATGTTTTGTTAGCTATTCGACTGGATCCTTTGACCCGAGGTTATGCCTGGGTGTGTGTGTGTCTGGGCTGTTAAACCTCCAATGGTTACCTGGGCGCCTGGAGAGGGGTCTTGCCTGGAATCACTCTAATGGGCTCCTTCCTTGGGAATGGGAGAGGGGCAGCTAAAAAACAAACTTCTACAGAAGGCTGGACTCCAATTTTTAAAAAAGGAAAGAAAAAAAGAAGGAGAAAGAAAAAAGGATATGAACAGTAATGATAAATCTCAGAGGAGGAACCTAAGTCACACATATATTTGGTACAGGTATATAATAGTGAAAGAAATGTAAAATATAAAATTAAGAATGTGACTGACCCATGCTGTAAATATTTAATTTTCTTATAATTTTTAGACTGAAGTTCTTGAATGCTCCTCTTCTATAGGTACTTTATCTGTTATGGGGCTGGGGGAGAGATTACTTTATCCAGCTATTTTCATTGTACTAAATACTCAAATTAGGAAAGAAGTAAGTCTGTAACCAACTGTGAAAATCTACTTTCTTGCATCCTAGAACAAGATCTAGCTGTGGATGTGCTGGGTGGCTATTACCCTGCCCCCCCCCCAAATAAACATACAAAATACAAAGAAGTGTACCTCTGGGAGTGTGGATGTGGCAATCCATGTGGTGACTTTTCCCTCCTTTGAGTGCACTTGCCAGTGATTCTTGCATTCAAAGTCTTGCTTTAGGCACACATTCAAAGCATAGTTCAAAGCAGTTTATCTTAATATAAGTAAAAGTCTAGTGTTGGATCAGGGTATTATTTATTTCATAATTTCATCAGACTGAAAACAGGGGCTGTAATATATTTAACAATATTAAAGCAGAAGAATTGGTGTGTGGCAGCTCTTTAGTCCTCTTCACACTTCCACCTTTACCTTTTCAAGGGAACCCCAAAGCTGTTGGACTGGTAGTTTATTTGTGCTCTGAAGTTCTCAAGCACTTTCACTCTTAAAAAAAAAAAAAAAAAAAAAAAAACCTTTTTTCTCCTGCCTCCCTACTCACACTCCCTCACTTTGTAGTGAGATCTCGGTGAGAGGTAGAAAGATTCAGAGATCGGTCGACTCAGTGCTCTATGTTAATTTACTTAGAGACCCTTTATTAAGAGGCTAAGAGATTTCTTCCTTTTCCGATAAATGCCCGTGCTCAGCATCCTCAAATTTGGCTGTCTTTATTTACTTCTATATTAGTTCCAATTATGTGCAGTGTAAACCAGCTTTTTGATTAACAAAACAGCAGAGCATTGGTTAAGAACACTTAAACTTCAAAAAAATTCCCCTGGGAAGTGGGCTCTGAATTGGTTAATAATGTGCAGTACTTGCTAAATTGCTGACTTCCAGATGTGGAAAATATCTTTCTTGTTTAGGACCTATGTAACCTGATTGGATTACGACAGAAGCGTCACGTTGGAAGCTTTTGAGTGATTATTTAATTAACCATACAGTAGAAAGCTGTATTCTCCAGGAAATCCCTTCCATATTTGCATAACCAATCCCTTCAGAGCAAAGGTGGAGTCTTTTCTTTTTAATTTTATTTTAATTGCAATATCAAAAAATATGTACTCCAAAACTTAGACCCCATGCCGTTTAATATCATACTCTCCCTTCCCTGCTAAGTTACTCTATGGCCTTTCTCCTTTTTTCTCCTGCCTCCCTACTCACACTCCCTCACTTTGTAGTGAGGTCTCGGTGAGAGGTAGAAAGATTCAGAGATCGGTCGACTCAGTGCTCTATGTTAATTTACTTAGAGACCCTTTATTAAAATGCCAAACTACTTTTTAATATTGGGACCCAATCCAGAAATTCATCACACACACCCCCAACACGCACGCCCTAAGATGCAGTTCACATGCAGCATTTTTCCCCTCTAGCGCTGGCATCTAAAAGGAAATAAATAAAATAAAATAAAATAAGAGAAAGGGCAAACAATTTACTTCCAGAGGCGGTGCCAAGATATCTACGCAACTTGGTGTGCATCTCACATCTGATCATTAGAGATATCTGTATAAGAAAAGGCGATCTGGATTGAGGACCCGGGATCTTTCCCTTTAACTTTCGCCCCTTGGAGTTCCCCAGTTCTGTTCTTCCACTAAAGCGTTTGCGGAGACTTCAAGGTATAATCTATCCCAGATCCTTTCCCAGAGAGAAACTTGGCGATCACGTTTTCACATGATGCTCACGCTCAGGGCGCTTCAATTATCCCTCCCCACAAAGATAGGTGGCGCGTGTTTCAGGGTCTCTCGTCTCTCTCCTACAGAAAAGAAAAAGAAAAAAATGTCATTAGAAGAGGCGTAACACGTCAGTCCGTCCCCAGGTTTGTGTTTCCTGGAGTGGCCGAAAGAGATCAGTTCTAACCTGCTCCGCAGGAATAACGGTCCTGCCTCCCGACACTCTTGGCGAGGTTTTGTACAGTTTGCTCCGGGAGCTGTTTCTTCGCTTCCACCTTTTTTCTCCCCCACACTTCGCGGCTTCTTCATGCTTTTTCTTCTCACCATTTCTGGCCAAAACTACAAACAAGACTTCACAGGTAGGTTTTTCCCCCCCTTTTCTCTCTTTTTATCCCTTTTTGGTGTGCTCGTCCCCCATCCTCCTTTTCTAACCCCCCCCCTTTTCTCTCTTTTTATCCCTTTTTGGTGTGCTCGTCCCCCATCCTCCTTTTCTAATTTTCTCCTTTTGAGTGGGGATGTGAGTCTGAAGTGAGAAGGGGTGTCTGCGGGTAGGAATTTCAGGTGGGTTTAGCTCCTTTATGGCAAGCTTTTCCCAAGAGTGGCTTCTTCGCTTCTCTCACACTCTCGCTCCCTCTCCTTCCTTTTCTCTCCTTTATTCTTCCCCCAAATTATTTGCCCTGTACCTGTCCATTCAGGTAACCAAAGGTGCCTTTTACTACCCAGCCTAGGAAAAGTTTTATTGAGAATTATATGGCTGGAATAAAAACTCATCAAGGGCAAAGCTTCTGCTCTATTTTGCCTCTAGTTCCTATTCATTATATTCAGAAATTAAAACTTTGCAAATACCTGTTAATAATTACAAAACTTGATCAATACCAATCTACCAAATTCTGGGGCAAATCTTTCTCTTAGACATGGCAGTCCATCCTCTCCCACCGGAGAAGGCTGTTTTTCTTAGTAGAAAGTTGCCTGTTTTTTGTCTGCTTAGCGAGTTTCATTTCTTTATTTCATTCTTTGTGTGTGTATGTGTGTGAAGTAACACCTCACTTCTGTGATTATAAATAAAGAAGTGAAAGTCCTCATGGAACTTGAGTCGTTTACCAAAGGGGGGGGGGTCACTACAACTGGGAGAAAAACTGCTGTCAGGATATCAAGCTTTTAAATTAGGATAGATTTTTAAATTGTATTTTAAATGGCCAAGTAATATAGACATGGATTTAATAGGGGACACTCACACATATCCCATTCAATACTTTGGTACTGAAAAGTCGAGAGAGAGATATAGGAGTTCCCAGGAACAGTGGTGAGCCCGACTAACATGAATGCTTATCTCCCACCTACTTATATATTTTACATGCTCTTCCTATAATGATGAGGGCAAGATTACTAACTCCAGAGTAAGGAATAACAGGCAAAGATAAAGTTTACAGCACAAATGCCCTGTCTCTCCCTCACACGCATATATGCTCATAAAACTAGCAACTTACTTTATTAAACATGTATTTATATGCAATCGTGTGTAAGTCTCAGCATGAATACAGACAGGCCAGCTGTTTCATGCCAGACACTTGTGTGACCATTTCTTTATTTCAGGATTTCCCCCAACAGTTACAAATTAATAGAACAGGCAAGAAATGATAAGATGTGTCAAACTTAAATTAAAAGTCTCCTACTATGTATGCCTAGGTAAATTGAAGGTGCTTTCTAAAATATCCACTTCCCCTTCTCTCTGCCCCCACCCCACCCCTCACAGCAAATGTGTGGAAACTGATACTTACTTTCCAGGTTTTCCGCAAAGCTTCTAGCACAGGAGACAATAGGTGCGGGGCGTGGGGACTGAGTGTGCTCGGCAGAGAAAGGGTTAATGGCCCTTGTGTTACAGTTTGCATCTGTTACATCTTTTATAGCCCCCTGTTTAAACTAATCCTCGAGGCACAGCATCTTCCCAACCTCCACCGAGTTTCAGGATTCTCCTCTCCTGCCTGCTTCCGAGGTTCCCCTTCTCCAAGTTTTGACAGTTTCAGCTGAAAAAAAATGCTGCGCCTCTTTCGATTTTTAGGTACAAAAGTTTCGAAGCCAGAAAGGATATAATCATTTAGTAGAGCTTAGAAGTATTGCCGTAGTGGTTGGACTTTCTCTTTCCTTTCTTGAGGGAAAAAACATTTTCTACTGGAACTATTTAAGGGAACCAGTGTGGGGTAGCATGTGTGTGAGTGAGGTGGGGGGAAATACTTAAGTAAATATTATCAAAGTGGCGGGGGGGTGGGGGAGGGACAGTGTCCAAAGAGGCTTATAATTATATTTCTTATTGCGGCGTAAAACGGGAAATCTTAATTTAGGGGTGGGGGGTGGGGGAGGAAGAGACAGTGCCTCGATCAACTCCAGGAGGGAGGGGAGGGGGCGCGGGGCGAGTGGGCTTCCTATAATTACTATTATCAATTTGCCCGAGTGTGCTCTTCATCCAGGGGCTGTTTCGCGTTGTTTGTTTGTTTGTTTTCTCCGGGGAAGGGGAGGGGGGTGAGAAAAGATGAGAGCGAAAGAAAGCCTCGCCTCACCCCAAGTTCCCGAGCCGGGCTGAGGACTTTTCGGAGGAAAGGGTCCGCCTAGTCCTGAGTCAAGCAGCCTTACTGTACCGCCGTGTGCATTCCCTCATACGGTCAGGAGTTATGACTCATTTTGAAGATGTAATTCTTGTCTCTGATCCCCTCGCGGGTGCAACACACCAAACAGTAACAAACACAAAGCGCCTCGGGGCCAAGGCTGGGGGTGGGGGGCGGGGAGGGGGCCGCCGAAGTTTCGCTTTGGCGTTGGGGGGCGCGAATGGGTGCTCGCCGGGGCCCTGGCCGGGCTCCCCTGGGCGGCCCGCGCGCGTTTCAATGGGCGCGGGCGATGCCCACATTGTCGCTGTGTTTGGTTGCTAGATCGAGCCTGCGTGCTGCCGAAGCAGGGCGCCGAGTCCATGCGAACTGCCATCTGATCCGCTCTTATCAATGAAGCAGCCGATCATGGCGGATGGCCCCCGGTGCAAGAGGCGCAAACAAGCCAATCCCAGGAGGAAAAACGGTAAGAAGCGGCCCGAACCAAACTTTTCCGGGCCACTCCGCGGCTCGAGACCCAGGGAGAAGGAAGGGGAGAGGGAAAAGGAACCGAGGCGGCGGCGGCGGCGCCCGGGGCTCGCGGGGGTCTGGAGGAGCAGCAGGGCGCAGCGAGGCTTTTCCGGGCAGTTTCTACATGGTCAGGAGGAGCCCGTTATCCAGGCTGACTCAGGAAGGAGGAAGGAGATGGGGGTGAGAGTGGCACACAGACTAGAGGTGGGAGATTGAAGGGGGAGGGGGTGACAGTTTAGCAGGTCCGTCTTGAAGAGAGAGGCAGAGAAGGGACGAGGAGAGCGGCAGAGAGAGCGCGAGAGAGGAAAGACAGAGAGACCCTCTAGCTATTACCCCAAACAAAATCGTGGGAATAAAAGAGAAAAGTGATTGGCAAGAGCGCGGAAGGCGCCTGGGGGAGGGGAGAAGGCTGGGGCCGAGAGAGGGGTCCTGGGGTAGGGGTGGGGGAGCTGACCCAGGCTACTCAGTTTAAAAAGAAAAAAAACCAACCCCCCAAAACAAACAAGCGTACTAGCGCCAGCCCAGACTCGGAAGGGAAACTTCTCGCTCCCCTTGCTCTCAGCCGGATCACCCGGCGCGGGGTCGCGTAGACGCTCCCGAGCCGGGCGCGGGGACGCAGCGCCGACCTGGCCTCCCGGCCTGTCGCAACCCCAACCCGCGCCTCGCGGGGACCGCCCGGGCCCACTTGGAGCAACTTTCCTGTTGAGAAGACAATCGTGCGCGCCCCCGGCCTCCCCCCGAGTTGCGCAGCGCGGGGAGGGGGCGGCTGCGGGCGCAGGGCAGGGTGCTGGAGGGAGAAAAACACAAAGACGAGAGAATTTTGATTAGAGACAAATGATGCTTCTCTGTGTGTGTGTGTGTCTCTCTCTCTGTCTCCCCCCCCCCCCCCCCGGGGGGGGGGGGGGGG